TCTGGCAAATTTGATCCGCATAATGCTGGAAGATTGAAAGAGTGCCGTGTACATCTTAATTCGTTTCGAGGTTCATTTCATTAGATAAATTACTGCTTTTTTATTAGCTGAATTTATTAGCTAAATTATTGCTTTCCATTCGATGCTTACTAAGTATAAAATATAGTTCAAAATTTCATTTTTATCTGGAAACTTGTCTGTGAATTTTTACGTAAAATAAAAATTGTCTGTATCAATCGCAGGGGACAAAAGTTAAATTAAAAATGTAAATAGCGTAACAATATTCCTAAATTATTCTATCTTCAGAGGGTTCCGTATTTCGCTTACTTTTTTTGCCATAAATGCTGCTTACAATTCTCCATTATTATTGGTGAATTATTTCATCCAGTAATTTGTTATACTTACAATAAAAAATGGTGAAAAATGACTAAATTCCGATGAAACGACAAATATCCAAAATCTAGTAAATTTCCGAATGTCTAAAGACGAGTGAATTATTGAACGCTTCGAATCCAGAGAATCGATAAACGCCAAAAATCCAATCGAACGGCTGAAATCCATTCTCGATCGAGCGACGCTTAAAACCTGGTGAATCGGAAAACGCAAAAAATCCGTTGAATCGATGTAAAATAAGAGAACTCGTACGCCGGCCGACGCGGCAAATAATTGTTCTAACAAGGCATCGCCGGCGAATCCGCGAGAAGCGTTTCCCGGTTACGCGTAACACAAAGGCGAGAGATTCGGTGCGGAACGAAGAAGCTGCAGTCGCTTCTGAACGGCGGTATCGGGGCAGAAACGGGGGCGCGGGGCCGCGAGCAACGATACAAAGAAGAAGAAATCCAAGATGGCGATAGGTGCGAAGAACTTGTTCGGTCCGGGTGAAATTTTCCGGGAACGATTCCTTTTGTCTCGGAGGATGGCGCGAGACGTGAACCTGACCCGACCTGACCTGACCCAACTTGATTCAAGCCGGCTTCATACGCCGCGCGAGAGCGAAAGAATAGAGGAGGACACCAGCCGGAAATGAAGGTAGCTGGGAAGTTCGCGAGCGCGCAAACACACGCCGCGCCGTTACCTTCTGCCGAGTAAATTTTATCGAATTCGGTGATCCTTTAGCTTCGGGAAACGGGGACAGGGAACCGTAATATCTATTACACGCCGTGGTACGCGCAGCCAGAACAGAGAGAAGCGGCGGCAACAACGTGGAATCAACGGTCATTCGGTGTACAGTAATGTCTCCCGAATTGACGCTTAGATTATTGTGCGCAAAAATGGACAATTTGGAGTCTTGCGGCTCGTTTTTATAATTGTTGACAATTCGTAACTATAAAAACAAATTGCAAGGCTCGAATAATCTTCTCTTCACAAATTGTCTAGTTTTGTGCACAATCTGAGCGTCAGTAAGGGAGACATTACTGTACAGTTATGTCTCCCTTACTGACGCCCAGATTGTCCACTAAAATGGATAATTTGGGAAGACGAGATACGATTATTCGAGTCTTGCGGCTCGTTTTTATAATTGTTGACAATTTATAACTACAAAAATAAACCGCAAGGCTCGAATAATCGTATCTCCTTTTCACAAATTGTCCATTTTTGTGGACAATCTGAGCGTCAGTAAGGGAGACATTACTGTATACCGGCGATCGAAGGATCGGATCATCTTCGCGGAAAATGTCTAAATAATTTGGAAAGTTTGTCGTTGCCGGGGCAAAATAAACGACCGCAGACTGGCGTACTCGTGAATGCTTAAATCGCAATTATACGAAACGCCGTCCTTTTACTGGCAGGTTTTTTAATTAACACGTTGAACGCCGTGTCGCGCCGCACCGGTCGCATGACACTAATTTTTAACTAGCTTTAGAACCTCATTTTTATTGTATAATATCGAACGGATCGAACGTTACTAGGACTTTTAGAGTACAAAAGAATTGAACCAGTTTAATCGAACCAGTAAATTTGAACGTTTCAGTTTCGACTTCGTTAATTAAATCGCTGATATCGCGGGTATTTTATTGTGGTTGATTTTCGTCGCTCAACAAGCTGTTGAAAATTGTATTTTTAAATCGACCACTGTGTGTAAAATATATAGAAAATTTCGATCAGTCGGTTATTAAGAGACACGATCTTTAATTGCCTACCATTTATAGGCAATTTATCCGTAAGATCAAGAAAGACCGAATTAAAATTGTGGCGAAAGTTGCTGCGAACGACGACGAAGCGACTAAATAAATTTGAGGTGATTTTCACGAGTGAATTATGACAACGTTTGCAGTATCGTCGAATGATCTTGTCGATGAAAATCAAGCTGCGTTCTTGAGAAATGTTTTGCTCAACTCTGGACGAGCAATCGATTAAGTCAAATTGTCAGATGATCGTAGAATTCGCGACTTACGGACCTCTGATTTTCTCCCCGAACGGGGTAAAACCCGGCAATCAGCATGGTCGCCGCCGATTCACCGGACTGCCAGGAAAGCTTCGGGGAAAAAACGGGCAGAGCTTCGCCTGTAAAACAGAACATCGGAATGCCCGGGTTATCCGTCGGCCGATAAAAGCGAATTGCGTACAGGCCGGATTATTTTGTGCGTACAATTTATTCTCCAACCTCGAAATTCAAATATAAAATGCTATTCGAATGTACACAATGTAATCGTCCATGTTAAAATAGTAACTTGGAATAATCAACAATGCGTGTTTGAACAAGGGGGACCACCACCGTGTGCACCGTGCGGGGAAAATCGAAATATTCAAGCAAGCGGGCGGGAGGCGCGGCGCCGGGGCGGCGACGCGCAAAAATACAAGCCTTTTTCTCGCGCGTGTAAAATCATTAGCATCCGCGCGAGTTACGAGCCTCATTTGCATACCCGATGCCCGCGGTATAATGCACGCCGTTTCTGGAGGACTCCTCGATATTCGCCTCGATATCCATTTTCCCCTCCCTCTCCTCCCCCTCCCCCCGTTATATCCTCTCCGTTTTATTTGGATTTCATTCGGTAAGCTCCGGCCGCGCGAGCAAACCGTAAATCTCAAATATAAAAACACTATTCAATATACGAAATACATTTTGTCAAGTTTAAAAAAGAGAGAAAGAGAGAAAGAGAGAGGGAGAGAGTTAGCTAGAGTGGGAGAGAGAGAAAACTAGAGCTAGAGAGAGAGAGAAAAAGAGAGAGAGTAAATTCGTTCTAACTTCATCCCGTCGATCCAATTTCCAATAAAATTCCTTTTCGAGAGCCCGAAATTGCTTTGCCTCCTGAGAATGTAAATATTCGAGTGTCACAGAAAGTATTGCCGCGTTCGGCGGCTTCGGCCGCTGTGTTTCCCGATTATTATTTTTCGCAAGCAAAATAAATTCGGCGAACGGCGACGTAGCGATCGCCGATCGCTGAAATTTCCTAGATTTTTACAGAAATTTCTAAATCTTCACAGTAATTTCCTAGATTTTTACAGAAATTTCCGAAATTTTTACAGAAATGTTCGGACCATTACAGAAATTTTCAGACCATTACAAAAATTTCCTAAATTTTTACAGAAATCTCCAGCTTATTATATTCCGATATATCGTTCGGCGCTCTCGCGAGGCTCGCGATTGTTCGAAGCGCGCTAATTGATCGATGCTGTTCGTCGGGACTGCCGATTTCGATTCACTACGTCCGCATAGCTTTGCGATAAGGTCGCGATAATTAATTCTAGTAAATCGATGAACTAATGATTCGTTGCACGGTCGGTCTCGAAAGTTTGCGCACCCGCTGCTGAACTTCCGTACAGTTTCTTTCAGTATCTTAACCGAGTAGAACAATTTTTCTGATTCAAATTTCTTTGTTTTCTCACTTCAAATGTATCCTGACTGTGCCGATTTCAATCTCATTGCCAAAATTACTTGATATCAATGTTTTTGGTGAAGATTGCAAGAATTAATTAATTGTAATTATAAAATATATAACGATAATTATATGTATATAATATATATAACGATTTAGATGAATTAAATCGAGTCGTAAGATATTCGAGCACACTAAATTTGATTACCAACGAATTATTAAGACTCGTTAGAGCAAGTACTTAGTTACTTCGATCAATTTCAACTTTCCCAGTTTCACTTTCCTTGGCTAAACTGTGCTGAAGTTACAAGCTGAACCCGTGAATTTCGTGAGATATTTTTGGCTTATAGTTTGACAATCGACGGCGTTAAATACTGCATTCATGGAAGAAAAAATGTCTTATGATTTTTACGTTTCTTTAACACTTCGAATTTCGCGTGAGAAATGGCTGTCGAAATTACTGTTGTCCTTTAAAAATTAATCTTCACACGTGCGTTCGATGCGAACAATTTGTGACGATTCTCATTGACATCTGTGCGATGCAAAATTATTAAAAATGTATCGAACTGTCGCGCACGTTACAATTTTAAACCACAGTAGAACCTCTATTATCCGATCCCTCTGGTAGCCGAATTCCTTGTTATCGAGACACGTTGTTCGTTTAAATCAAAGATTCACAATTTATCGCCAATGAGGACTTAATTTAACAATTGAATTCACTATCTGACCGCTTAGGTTTCCTGGATTATCTCTATTTTACTTATTTTTTACTTAGACCAGTGGTGCCCCTATTATATTTAATTATATATATATAATTAAATTTCCTTATTCTTTTACTTTCTTCATTTTTAAATTAAGAAATATAATATGTCTTATTCGATAAATATAAATATTAATTATACCCGAGAACAAGCCAGGGGCACAGCAATTGATATCGCTCCACAGTAACTGATGCTACTACCCTATACAGTACATTCTCTCTAATTATTGCTCTGCTAGTAAACAAAAATGGACAATTTTGGAAGAGCAGCTCAATAACAATAATTTCGAGCGAGGCTCGAATAATCGCATCTCCTCTTCCCAAATTGTTTATGTAAAAAATTGTAATCTTTGTTTAAAAGCTGAGTGTCAATTTGAGAGAATTTACTGCACTTACCCCTGGATCGCATAATTACCGAGGTTCCACTGTGCGTTGATTCTACGAGATCGTTAACATCGAGCTGAAGAGAATTTGATTAGAAAAAAAATAATTTCATTTGAGAGATCGCGAATGAAATTTAGGAGGCGTGCAGAAAGTTTCGCGACCGACGGTGTGCCTGTCCTAAAAACAAAATTCAGCTAATTGCACGGGAGCCCGGTCGCGGGGCGAGAAGATCGCAGAATTCGGAACACCGGGACGGGGCGATCCCGTTCTCGCACGTGCGATTCGCACGGGCCGAAGTGCTCTAATTGAATCCTTCGCAGCCACGGGAAGAGATTTCCACGGTCGCCAGGCGAAGTTTTCGACGTCGTTCGGAACTCTTTCGGCGGCGGCGAGGTAAGACTAAAAAGGGGGATGTCGGGAACGGTGGATGGCGGCGCCACGCGGGGGCGTGCGCGGAAGAATTGGATTCTTCATCAATCGAGATCGGGTAGGCCGCCGTTGGAGCCGAAGCTGTCTCTGGAATCCTTTTGGGCTCGCTCGAAATGGCTGCCGGGAGAGACGTCTTTCAGACGGTTCTCGAAATTCAGAAAGTCTGAGCCGCACGGACTGCAGGCCTGCATTGATTGGGCAAAAGGTTCTTTGTTCAAGCGATCCGGCACACTGTTCCTTCAACCCTTAACAACCCGCCGGCGTTCTAAGCGATTCGCGCACCCACCGACCGATCGATTACAAACAATGTTCGTGGAAAATTGTTTTCGAAAATGTTGGCCACTTCCGTAACTATCTTTTCAAACGGAATAACTTTTTTAAAATTGGCTCGAAGGGCTTCGATATTTTTGAGATGTTTGAGCGACTAGTTTTCTTTGAAATGAGTACGCGAAAAGTCTTTTTAAGTTGCAATCGATTGGAGTGATGAAAAAATTAAAGAACGGTGTCTTTTTTTTAACTTTTTTATCCGAGCCCGTAACGAAAATTTAAAAAATGCATTTTATAGGTCACGGTAAAATTTCATCGAAATCGGTTGACCTGGATATGAGCTGTAATCGATTAGAGATCGCGAAAATCGCTGTTTTTCACGAATTTCAAGCAAAAACGGGTAATTTTTACATCTCTCAGTGACTATAGCTTGACTATGCGTCGACCGATAATCCGTCAATCATGAAATTGAGATAAATAAGAAGTTTGCAAATTAGCAATAAAGAGGTAACGCACAAATGAACTAATAAACTGAACTTAACGAAACACAAAAAGAATGTCAATGTTTTTTTTTAGAGAAAACTCTGAATCGAAAGAAGATCCCGTGATAAAAGATGCGTTTTGCACCGCATAACTAATTTTCAAAGAAAAGCGAACTTGCACCGATTTTATTCTGAACCCTCGATTTATCGAACGCCAACCTTTACTTGGACGTTTAAATATTGACAATAGGAGAGCAGAGTTTGATTTCTGTTTAACGCTAAACATACCATGTCGGTCAATTTCCGCGCTGCTTATTGACCATTATCGATCGGTTATGGCAGTAATGCATGCAGGGTTGTCAAGGGTTAACCGGACTGCGGATGTTTATGCATTCTGAGCTAACGTACTCAAGTCATTTTGCTTTAACCCGGCTTTTGTCTCGAGCACCTCGAATATTTCACTAGTTATTGATAATCCAAACAGAATTGCTATCATTAGATTACTATCGTCGACTACCTGATACGATAGTCGAGCTAAATTAATCGTGACGAAGATTCCATACACGCTCTGGCAAATTTGAATATTATTCGTTTTCTCTAAATCGGAACAAAATTTGATTCTTCTGTTATCAAAATCTATACAAGCAGCATAAATAATCTCATTCTGTTACAGAAATTATTAAGAATAATACTTCTCTCAAAGTTTTATATTTAATTTTCTAAATTCGCGTCCACGAAGAAAATTTCACTTCGAGTAAACGTCAATTACTTCAAATCTTAAAATTGTGCATATTTGAAACAGTTTACGTAAAGACGTATCTTGAATTACGTTATTTTTATTTACATTTTGAATCTCTGTTATACGATTATTACAATCGAAAATTCTAATCATCCGGATGAATGCAATAATTCAATGTGCTCGCAGGAGGTGAAGGATTAGGAAATGTAAAAATGGCTCAATGAAATCGTGCATCAATACGGAGAATCGCAGGTTTGCATAAACACCGCCGGTCCACTTACGATAAATTGTTTTTACTTGGATCAAGAAGCTGTCGGACTCGGTATTTTCTGTTATTTGCCTTTCCAACCGGGGCGACGAGATCACGGTGCTCTCCGCGCTGTTGCATAGCCCTCCTTCGCTGTCCATCATCTTTCAAGAATAATCACGAGTTCGTTTAAAATGATTAATTTAATTTAATTGAATAACGGCGAAGCACTCGTATAATTGCGATGATCCCGACATCGGACTGCGGATCTTCGTGCGAAATAAAAACTGTTGTTCGCCGACCGGGACAAACAGAAAGCAGATAAAGACGTCGAATCACTTCGATCGATGCAAATGCAGCATAAAATCCGCAGTCCGTTTATTGCTCGAGTGGAACGGAAAACGGCACGACAGGTGACGGCTGTCGTTAAATAAATTGAGTTCGTTAACGAACGTGAAATTTCGAGGTATGTTCACATTTTATTGCTAGCAATACAATGTAAAAAAAAAATATGTAAAAAAAATAACGAAAGCACGAATGCGGACGCAATTTTGGCGGAAATAAATTAGTCTAACTAAAATTTCGCTAATAATAGTAATAATAATAATAGTAGAGAGAGAATCTCTCTGAGAACGTTCCTGGCAAAAAAACTAAACCATTCTCGCCGTGACATGAGCGAACAAAAATAATTGGTTGCTTCTCGCTAGAAATCACAGTCGTGTAACGCCGTCGAATAGGTCGTCGGTTCAAAAAAGTCTTATCGGATGCTAGATCGAGTCTATTCGGGATTCGAGCAAATGGTGATAGAACTGCATGTCGATCGAATAGAAATTGATGTTATTTTGCTGCCAGGACCTTAAGAACTCGCAAGCGAAGCACTCCGTGAAGTTACAATAGTCAGGGGAATCTGTTACCAGCTTGGTCTTCTCCTCGACCATCTCGACCACGTTGTTGCCGTCCTCGGTGCTGGTGATGATGCCGGTGGCCAACTTTTTCCCAAGAATTTTCACCTCTTTCCGACAGCCGCCGGACGTGTTCACGACGTTCGTCTCGCATCCGTTCGTGTTCGCGGCGGTGTTCTTCAGGAACTGTTCGTACGGCGTGAGCAGCTTCACGTTCGAGTACTGCGACGCCATGATCTCCTGACTATGATTTTTCGGGCCCAGGATCTTCACCTCGCCGAGGCCGGAGAACAGCTTCGACGGCGGCATGCTGTTGTTCGTCTTGATGCCGAGGACCTTGCCGCGAAATTACAGCGTTTATGCATCAAAATAATCGCCGCTGACCGTCGAGTAATTTTTCTTTTTTTTTTTAACAGCATACAATTTCATTTAAAGGACAATGTCAGTGGTGGTCGATGATCGAAGGACAATTTCGATTTCGTAAATCATTATTAAAATATATGAACTTACCGAAAGTTAGGATGATATATTTTTTTTATTCTTCGGTACACTGAAGGGTCGAGGACAGTATAAAGGGTGTCCCATGAGTATGTTAACGCTTAGAAATGAGGGGTTCCTGAGGTAATTTGAAGTAACTTTTTCCTTAGCGAAAATGCGATCCGCGGCTTCGTTCACGAGTTATCGAGGAAAAACGGTGACCAATGAGAGGCGAGATCAGCTGATGCGAGGCGACCGAGCTCATTGGTCAGTGATTTTTCGTTAATAACTCGTAAACGAAGCCGCGGATTGTATTTTTGCCAAGGAAAAAGTTACTCTAAATGACCTCATGAATCACCTCTTTACAAATGTTAACGTAATTATGGGCCTTCATATAATGGGCCTTAACATAATTGTGCCTTCCATGTGTAAATAAATAAATAAGTAAATATATAAATAAATACATAAATAAATAAATACATAAATAAATAAATAAATAAGTCGGTGTAGAAACGACCTGAATATCGGTAACAATGTGATATAAAAAACAGAGAATCGACGTGAATGTTAAACAGTGACAATTGGGACATTGCGAAAAGACAAGATTACCTTGTTACTCTGATGCGTCGTTCCCAGAATCTTGATGTCCGATTGGCCAATGGGCATCAAACCCCCGTCGGGTTCACTGTCGTCGAAAACGGATGACAGTTTCATCTTGCTTTCATAGACCGAGTGATGTTCCTCCATCGTAGAACTACCGAGAATGTTCAGATCCTCAGTTAAACTATTGTTGCTCTTCAAATACGGAAGCGTTTCACTTAGGATCGACAAGGGGGGATGATTTTTCAATAACAGGGAGGATATCGAAGGTTGCGAGGTGGTTGACAAAGTGGAAATGTCGCTTCGGTGACTGAGAATGTTTGTTAACTCTTGTTGACTCGAGGGTACTCCTATACCTATCGTAAAAGTCAGCGGATTCATATTTCAAGGTACTGGTCTCTCGATCGCAGTGCTATTATGGTTACATTTAAAAGCATCGCGTCGCTGAACGATCGAACAATTTAGAGCCAAATCGCTGTCCTCGAACTTCGTCGATGATTAAAGGATGCAGCATTTTTAACCGAATAAAATAATTGAAGAAAAATGGGAACCTCTGAACGCGAAACATTTTTATTTTGCATAAAGATCCCCGGTGTACAGTAAATTCTCACTGATTTTCCTTCAGCTTGTAAATGCATAATTTTGGAAGAAGATATACTATTATTTAAGCCTTGCACCTCGTCTTTATAATTATTCACAATCGACATCTATAAAAATGAGCCACGAGGCTCGAATAATCTTCTCTTTCTAAATTATCCAATTTTTGTTTACAAGCTGAAAGAAAATTCGGCAGGATTTGCCGGACTTATCATCGAACAAATACGTCGCAGCTTTGGTCAGATGATCCAAGAAAATTCTGCGAGTACGAAGGGTTAAAGGACTCGAGCGTGCTTTACTCGGCCGGCGCGGAACGAGATCTCTAAATTGTTCGGGGCTGTTCGAGCATCTTGCGGAATCCAGAAACACGTAAGAGATGTCAGCGTTAGAGTGGAATGTTCACCTTCGTCGTCGTGCTCGTTGACGGCGAGGCCGGCGTCGATGGACAACGATTTCGGGCCGAGGATTAAATCGTCGATTTTCGGCTGCGAGAGGAAACTGATACCGTCGACGAAACGATCGTCCAGGCTCTTCATGTCGAGGATCCTGATGTCTTTGTCCTCGAGAATCTCGATGCCATCCATCGGCATGGGTTTCTGCGCCGAGGCCGAGTTAAGTACCATGATCTGATTATCCGAATCCCCGATGATCACCTCCCCGTTGCCACGTGTGTTCACCACATTGATCGCGTCCGCTTCGTCGCCGTCGAGGATCGTCACGTCGTGAGCGTTCTGCGCCATCAAATCGCGCGCCTCGCTGTTCGTCATCACCTAATTGCCAAGTTAACGCGGTGAAATGACTGACAACAGCCGCGACGGTAGTTGAGAGACTTTTGACGAAATTCTGCAATGATCCGAACTCCTTCGTGTTAACACCGCCATTTCTTAGTTGAATTGTCCCAACTAATATTTCTGATCGCTCGAAAAACGAGACAAATCAATGGAATTGCATTTGCTTGAAAGCTTGAATATTTTCGTTTTGCTTAAAAGACACCGGGGTGTTCCGAATATTTTCAAATATCCCGAAAATTATCGCACACTCCGCATTTAATATTCTATAGTGAATAATAAAAAGAATTAATTAAAACAATTTTAATTTAATTCTAATTTAATTCTGATTTAATTCTAATTTAATTCTGATTTAGTTCTAATTTAATTCTGATTTAGTTCTAATTTAATTCTGATTTAGTTCTAATTTAATTCTGATTTAGTTCTAATTTAATTCTGATTTAGTTCTAATTTAATTCTGATTTAGTTCTAATTTAATTCTGATTTAGTTCTAATTTAATTCTGATTTAGTTCTAATTTAATTCTGATTTAGTTCTAATTTAATTCTGATTTAGTTCTAATTTAATTCTGATTTAGTTCTAATTTAATTCTGATTTAGTTCTAATTTAATTCTGATTTAGTTCTAATTTAATTCTGATTTAGTTCTAATTTAATTCTGATTTAGTTCTAATTTAATTCTGATTTAGTTCTAATTTAGTTCTAATTTAGTTCTGATTTAGTTCTAATTTAGTTCTGATTTAATTCTAATTTAATTCTGATTTAATTCTGATTTAGTTCTAATTTAGTTCTGATTTAGTTCTGATTTAGTTCTGATTTAGTTCTAATTTAATTCTGATTTAATTCTGATTTAATTCTAATTTAATTCTGATTTAATTCCAATTTAATCCTAATTTAATTCTGATTTAATCCTAATTTAATTCTGATTCAATTCTAATTTAATTCCAATTTAATTAATTAGAAATAATTAATTCGAAGATTTTCTCGTTACAACGTTACACCGAGACTACCAATTTCGGATTTCGCGTCGAAGGAGAAAGTCCGAAGGAGAAAGCACATATTGGATAAGTGGCAACGCCCGGGCCGGGAATAAGCGTGAAAATCATGATCGATAAGTTTCATCACCTCGTAACGGCCGTCCTCGGTGGCCCGCACGAATTGTATCCCGCCCTGGGCAGCCAGTTCCAGCAACTCGTTGCAATCCTCCATCGTCGGGGATACAACGGTTCCATTCTGGCGATTTGGCTCGTTTCTCGGGGCCTCACCGTACGTGAACTGGGAATCCAATGCCGTGACTAGGCTCTCTGTCGACAATGCACCAAATAAAGACCACATTGCCGCGACAGTGTGAAAAACAGCGCCGCCTTTAACGAGCCAATTATATGGCCGAGCGGCGACAGACACGCTCGAATCTTGGCGTCGCCGGTGTCTCGGGATCGCAGATTTCATCGTGAAGAACTGAATCATTCCGTCGTGAAGCTAAATTATTTAACCGTTCCGATCTACTTCTGGAAGATCTTTTTCGAGGAGCAATGCCATCAGCCGAGGCAATTATTCGGTGCCGGTTTCAGGGACGCGAGAGTAAATATTTTATTTCAACCTTCACTCGTTCTTCGGGTTCGTTTAATTTAGTCATCATTGATTTTAAACGAATAGTATCGTTTTAGAGTTGGGAATCGCTTTGAAACCTTGTTTTAGAGCAATCTTGTCTGAATCATTAAATTTTCGAGGAAAGATTTTGAGGAGAAATCGGTACGATAAATGATCGATCTTGTAAATTGTGCCTGTCGGACGTGCTGTCGATGTATTTTCAATACTTTCTATAAATGTTTTCTTCAGGGTGTCCAAAAATTATGGTACTTCCGTGAAATGAGGGGTTCCTGAGATCATTTGAAGTAACTTTTTCCTTAGCGAAAATGAAATCTGCGGCTTCGTTTGCGAGTTATTAGCGAAAAACAGTGACCAATGAGAGGCGAGCTAGGCTGACGCTAGGCTGACGCTAGGCTGACGCTAGGCTGACGCTAGGCGGCCGAGCCAATGGGGAGCAGCGGGCTTCGATCGCTCGGCCGCCTAGCGCTACGCGTTCTCGCCTCTCATTGGTCAGTGTTTTTCGTTAATAACTCGTAAACGAAGCGACGGATTGCATTTTTGTTAAGAAGAAAGTTGCTTCGAATGACCTCAAGAACATCCTGGGACACCTTGTATCATTTATGCATATTTTATTATAAACACAGGGTCTGTTTAAAATAACCAAGAGATCGATCAGATTCGATTTCACTGTGCGGAGAGGAATGCGCGCTAAGACATCTGCTAACGTCTACTAAGTATTTTCTACTAAAGACATTCGGAAGTCACTCCGAGACCTCGACCGTTCCAGTATTATTAATCTTTCTGTGTAGGATTGTCTATTTTCCGATATCCCTGGATGCCCCCACAGTTTACGATTATTCATACGAAGGTAATCCTCACCGTGTTCGCTTTCCGGACCAGGCGGCTCGACGATGAAATTGATTTTTCCGTCGGGATCAATGCTCTGAATGACAGTCGCCACCACAGGCACCTTTATCTGCACAGCTTTGATCCTGTCAGCGTCCGGCGCGATCGTCGGGCTCAGGCTCATCTTTCCGGCTATTCGAAGATCTTCCGCTGTCGCCGCAGTCAAAATCTAAGAAACAGACACGCAACATTGCTCGTCAATTTTATTTTCAATCAGATGCACCTATTAACAGGTTTTTCAATAATTGAAATGTGTTTAAGGGGAATATGTGGGTTGCAGAGTTATTTATTCAGATTTGATAATTAATCTTTGCGCAATTAATATTTCTCTGTTAAATAATATTATAAATATTCTAAAATACTCTATCATAATTCCCAACTGTATATGATGTTCTAAATGTTTTAAAACAATTTAGAATACTCTACTTAATATACTCTATAATTGCCAAATTTTATTAAGATGAACAAAACGTAATATTGTCGAAAAAGTAATTCATGCCATGCAATTTTCGCAATTATAATTTAATTAACACTAGATTATTATTAACGCGTCATTTGGGCATGTTCCAAATGTTTCAATTTGCGATTATTGAAATTTTAAGGACACATTTATTTATTCAACAAAGTTTCATTAAACATGTATCGTAACAAACATTGCTAAAAAGTTGAATAAATAGTGTTAAACCTAGTGTTAAATAAAGTACTTAAATGATATGAAATATAAGAGATTGTTGGCGTAGAGGTGAAAGTGTTAAACAATAATATCAAAAAAGCTTGTTGCATTATATTAATCTAAATAATTCCATGTATTATGAACGAAATTATCGTAATTTTTGAACAGCCCATTAAAAAATTCTTAACCGATGGTATTCGATGTTGAAAGCACTGTTAGACGAGTAAATTGTTAATAAATGAACCAGCAAATAAAGTGTCGATAAATAAAGCCGATAAATAAAGTGTTAGTAAATAAGCGAAGGTTTTACATTCTTGTGAGTTCCAGTTGGCGAGACTTTCACGAGGATAGGAATTCCCTTGGCAGGCTTGAAGAGAGCGAAAGGCGTTTGGTTCTCCAGCAGAGCCATCTCCATCGCTTTGGTGTCGATCTTGTCGATCACCACCGACTCCATGACATCGGACTTTCGAGAAACAGTTCACGGCGTTCATTGTCACATTTCTCTTTCTCCGTTGTATTATGATAAGAAAAAAAAGATGTAGATTATTCGGCGGACGGTACCTTAGGGGGGCTACAAATCGCGAGCAGGGGGTCCTTGTCTCTAACTTCCATGGTCTGATTGCGGTCATTGTTCGGCAGTTGCACGATCCGGACGTTTTTGCTAACAGTGAATTTTGAACGATTTTAGCGGATTCAATGGACTCGATTACATTTTCGTGTTGAAACAACGAAAAACCGTGGCACCGTTCTCATGGAAGGAAAGTGGATAAGCGATAGCTTCGTGTGTACCGTTAAAAATGTACCAGACTGGCGGAGTTGTCTGCATTTATAACTAGACCAACCAGAAATTTTAATTGCAGCATGAACTGTTGCTCGAAATTTCAAATTCATAGCATGCTAAAACAATGTTTTCAATGGAATCGGAAAATTTCGATTGTGAACGCAGCAATTCACTCTCGCCAGTACAATCGATCAATTAATTCTCTAAGTATTAAACTGCGAATCTTTACGTAAAATAAAAAGTTCCCGCATCAATTGCAGAAAAATTTAAACGTTAAATATTTTTAACTCAGAATTTCGATTATAATTTCGATGTAATATGAGATATAATATATAATATAATATAATATAATATAATATAATATATATATATATATATATATATATATATAAATATATATATATAATAATATAATATAATATAATATATATAATAATATAATATAATATATATAATATAATATAATATAATATAACATACAATATAAGTGAGAAATTGTTTTCAGTTTGAATAATTTTAGCAAGATAACGATGAAAAAGTATCCTCGAAATTATCTAGCAAATTATTTCGATTTTCCGTGTTTCCATTTCAACCATAAATGCAGAAAATCCGCAGTCTATAACAGAACAGAAAAGATACAAGTATAAGAAATATTATATTAGAATAACCTAACCCTTCAAGGTCCTACATCGAAGCAAATTAGAAATTAACTTCCAAACCGATGTACTTATTTATTTATTTTCTGTGTATATTCATGGTTAAAATATGTACGATCAAAATATTTTTTTTAACTATCGAAAACAGACTATAAAATTACAAACAAAAACGCGGCAAATTCTAAATTCTAAACTGAGAGAATACTCGGTACCGCAAAGGGTTAACGTGTTCGCTGAACCGCGAATGTTTATGCAAAATAAAAATGTTCTCGAGTCGATGGTAAGTGAACATTATGTGACCTAACCCTTTAAGGTCCTACATCGAAGCAAATTAGAAATTGACTTCCGAACCAATGTACTTATTTATTTATTTTCTATGTATATTCACTGTTAAATTATGTGCGGCAACGATCGAAATATTTTTTAACTATCGAAAACGGACTACAAAATTACAAACAAAAACGCGGCAAATTCTAAATTCTAAACTGAGAGAATACTCGGTACCGCAAAGGGTTAACGTGTTCGCTGAACCGCGAATGTTTATGCAAAATAAAAATGTTCTCGAGTCGATGGTAAAGCAGCGAACATTGCGTTTCGAGTTATGAGAGAGAGACGTAGGAAACAGGAAATAGAGGATGGCCCGGAAAGATCAACATTCAGGCTGCGTTCGTTTATCCATGGAGAAAAGGCTCTCCGTCATGGAGCAAATTAAGCGACGCCGGCGTCGCGACGTCTACGTACTTCCTTATGATGTTCGGATCGTTGATTTCGGGCTGGGAGGCGGTCGGATGTCGATAGTTTATGCCGTGCTTGTACTCCTCGTGCGATCTCAAAGAGAATCGACGCGGAAACTCTTTGCCGCAGATTCCGCACACGTACTGCATTTTCTCGGCGTGTGCATGCGCTTTGACCTTGTGGCAGACCAAATTCGACATTTGATTGAAGCCTTTGCCGCAAAGCTCGCATTTGTACGGCCGCTCGTTCGTATGGGTAAACACGTGGTTCCTCAAATTGCCTGACAACGAAACGGTGTTCAACCATTAAAGCTTGTAATCATCCCCCGAATTATATTGACCGACGGCCGCGCGTATCGAGATCCGTTACAGGCCGATCTCGCGCCACGATTTCAGCCCGCCGCAAGTTTTCCGGCAACGATGATCGAGCCAGATCGAAACTTTCGACTTTTCTTTTCCACGCGATCGCGCTCGATCGCTGATCGGAGTCCGAAAAAATTCATCCTCGTCGAAGCTGTGGGATCGAACTGTACGCAATGTCTTTTTTTGTCAAACGTTATATGTTTTATGTTATTTATACGTTAAATGTTGCGAGAACGACGCGACCGGTGCGATGATTTTTCAGAGAAGTAATCGGGCTCGTTCGCGTTACCGATAGAGCCTGATTCAAAAGTGCGAAAGACGCGTTAATTTAATTATCGGATCGATCGTCCGCTGTTGTTCATTATTAGCTGGTGTATAAGATAATGGAAACGTGGAAAGTTGAGCTTTTCAACGTTGTGATACCTTTTTGATGAAATCCTTTCCCGCAGACCTGACACTTGTGCGGCTTGTGCTCCGAGTGTGTTTTCCGATGCGAGATCAACGTGGAAACTCTGGAAAATTGGGAACACTAGAGTCAGCGTTGAAAATCAACGAGTAACGTACACGTGCAATTATCAAACCGTTTTAATATCAATTTTGTATATCTTTCTAACATCCCTATTGTCTCAGGTTGCGCCTATTTTTGTCACGATCGGGCCGCAGATTTTCTGCGTTTGTGAGAAAAATGTGACACTAAAATCCGTAACGGTAAAAAGCTTAAATGAATTTAAGGATTCCAACACGTCCGATTTATTAAAATTATTGAAGGAAGAGAAATATTTCTATTTAACAGCTTTTTCCTACGATTAATACAGCATTGTTATTTAGAATAAAAATCTGCGGTCATAATGAATACCAAAATTCCTCGAACTAATAATGACAAATACCATCGTTAAAGAATCAATAGTTTAACACTGAACCTACCACGCCGAACTCGCACATTTTTTATTTTGAGACCCTTGACTGAGACTCTTGAGACTTTTGAAGACTGTTTTACAATAAAACAATAGCGAAACGTTTAAGTAAATTCAATCCCGTCATTCTTGCAAAACGACGCACACCCAGAGCGCGTTTATCGTTCGGCAATCTCGAGGAAAAGTGGGAACAACGTTTTAAATAGCGCCGAATTAACTTCTCCGCGTGACAAAAAACGAACAACAGAGAGGCCCGGTGTCCGTCGTATCGGTAATATTTAAAGCCCCCCGGAAAAGCGATTCCGGCGGTCGGTCGAGTATCCGCGCTGGAACGCGCTTTAAGCGGCGACGCGCAAAAGCGGCGCTTTATTAAAGTTAATTCACAAAAGGACAGAGACGTCAGGCTCGTTAAAAATTTTCTTCCGCCGGTTCCGCACAATCGCGCGATCCCCGTGCCGCGATTCAAAACGCTAATGACCCGGCGTGCTCGGTTACGCGGGCATAATTAGTTTCCTCGCTTGTCGGCGAGATTGTAGTTTCGAAATTTTTCTCCCGCGTTTTTCCATCGCGCAGCAAACGAGACCCGGCGAACGGCTTTGACCGAGGATTCGGCGACGGAGACGGACGGAAAACCGACCCACCGACCTGGTCAACTGAAAATGAAACTGGGAAACACGAGATCGACGATTTCGATCCGGTAAATCGATTCGAATCGGACGTAGTTGCAATAATTTGTTATTCGCGGTACCTTAAATATTTTGAACTCAGAATTTCGATTATAATTTCGATGTAATATGAGATATAATATAATATATAATATAATATACAATATAATGTATAATATATTATATAATATAATATATAATATAATGTATAATATATTATATAATATAATATATAATACAACATACAATATAATATATAGTATATTGTATGATATAATATATAATATAATGTATGATGTACAATATAATACATAATACAATTATAATATAATATATTATAATACATAATACAAATATTACAACATTATATTACATAACACAATTTAATATAATATATAATATAATATACAATATGATTATGTGACTCTCATCCCCCCTTTTTCATGACATTTTAAGGATCGAATTTTCTGCATTTCGTTGAATGCTAATTGTGACGCGTGACGTTTCTAAATGGCTGACGCGTAAGAGAGCAGGCGAGGCCGAGAAGTAAATCGGGGAACACGGTGTTGACGGTTCCATACGATCGGAAAGTTACAGGAAAGCAATTCGGATGCAGAGAGTAGTGTCATGAAGAAATAGCGTATCGATTCGGTTGCTGACCTGTTGAAAGTTTTCTTGCAAAATTCGCAAACGTACGGCCGGGCGTCGCTGTGTATCGCCTTGTGCTGGCTCAGTGTCGATAGCTGCCGGAAAGCTTTGCCGCAAGCCTCGCATTTAAAGTTCCTCTCGTCGGTGTGGGTCGGCAAATGTCTCATCAAGGTATACTGATGCCGGAACTCCTTCGAACCTATCGCGAATATTAAGTTGCCTTATATTTATTTCTTGTTTAACGGATCGTCGAACAGACGCAACACCGTCTCGAACGATTTAACACGTTGACGTGCGAGGACGTTTCGAACGTGAAGAGTTGTCCAATAGTTTTATTTAACAGTTTGAGTGTTGTGTTTATTTTTACAATATATAGTCTATTACGTCTTCTCAATTCGATCGAAGTCTGCACAAGGTGACAACGTTGCAAAAGCAATTGATGTCGCACAGATTAACATTTCAATTTTTTGCGTGATTGAATGGAATAATTTATTTTCCGTTATATTTATTTATTTATAATTCTTTTGAGGTTGTTGGCGGGGGCAAAATGTTAACACTCGAATCGCAACAATGTAACCGAGTACGCTTGTGATAATTTATTATATTATTCATATCGTGTTATTATATATCAAGAAGAATAGTTTTTCTCGCAGAGAAACGATCCATTAATAAAAATTGCATGAAAATTGAACTATCGAAAAATCCAACACGTCGGACGATAGACAATTTAGGATGATTTATCATGCCCTGTTTCCCATTTTGTTTCAGAAATCTGTTCACGAGAAATCGCGTGCGCCGTGCACCTATACATGTATGTATCGTAGTGTACATTCTCGAGAGCCATTTTCTGTCTCACAGAGAAATTGGAAATAAAAATTGCTGTACAATATTAATGAGCGCAATGGCCCAGTTATTAAACCAGCTGTTTAAAAAACGCTTTTTAAATCATCATTTTATTGTTCGATTGTTCTGCCTTTAACCTTTACGTTCTTTTCGTTTGTATTATCGAGCATGCCAACGTGTTAATGATTTATCTCGAAGCAAAATACAGTAATGTTTCCCTTACTGACGCTCAGATTGTGCATAAAAATGGACAATTTGGGAAGAGGGGACACGATTATTCGAGCCTTGAAGCTCGTTTTTATAATCGTTGACAATTTGTGACTATAAAAAAACGTACCGCAAAGCTGGAATAATCGCATCTCCTCTTCCCAAATCGTCCATTTCTGTGGACAATCTGAGCGTCAATTAGAGTGGCATTACTGTAAATACGCGATATAAAATGAAGAAAAGATAAAGAAAGATAAAGAATGAAGGAAAGAAGGAAAAGAAAAAGAAACAACGAAAAATATACACGAAATCATCGAAAGAATTTGATTTTAGCTCACAGATTCCGCATTCCCAAATTTTCAGCGTCTTTCCATCGCGTTTCAGGTACTTGACGAAATGAAGTTTCGATCTTGGATCGTCCTTGTCGATCAGGTGAGTGGAGGACGAAGATGGCGTCTCGACAATCGGATGCGAGTACACCATTACGTTGTCTTCCGGGGCAACGATATTTTGATCCAATATTTGAAATGAATTCTGCATCTGTAACGACGATTAGTTAGATTCTACGTCCGGTTTCTAGAAACTATTTGCAAATGGTGCAAGAACGAAATTTCTATGAAACGCGCGTTTCAGAATTGCATTCAGAAATGAAATTCGCACATACCAGAAATATCATAATCTCCGCTAATGTACCCATGACGGCCCCGTAACGGTCTGTTATTAGAATCGGTGTTACATAAATAATCCAATGATTTACCTTGTACTTAAATGCATCTTTGCCAAGAAATTTCGTTACGCTATCGTCAATGTTGATCACCTCGGAATCTATGGCAACGTCCAAGTTCATGCAATCATTCTGGTCGCAAAAGAAATTATATTGTTAAATTATATTATTATAAGAACTGTAACATGTACATGCGGAGAACGATTGTTACAGCTGATGCCAGTTACCTGAATCAACTGATGTTCATTAGCTGAAGACAAGCCGGGTATAACAGTGACGTCATTCCGCCCATCGGAACCTCCTGCCGTCTCCTCCTTCACGTAAACTTCGTAAACACTGATAATAGAATAATCAAAACGTTCTCTTATATCAATGATCACATTTCAAACGGTATACCGCGTTGAGAAAATTTTGTCATCAATTTCTTCGCTTCGAACAGAATACGGTAACGAAAAATATTCCATAAACCATTCGGCTGTTCTTGACGAGTATATTCGTCATTACACAAAATGTTGCAATTACTTCACGACGAGTATATTCGTGGTAATACAAATTGTGGACATTTCTTCGTGATGAGTATATTTCTCATAAGACAAAATTGTGCCATTTCTTCGTGACGAGTATATTCGTCATTACACAAAATGTTGCAATTATTTCATGACAAGTATATTCGTCGTAATAAAAATTGTTGACATTTCTTCGTGATGAGTATATTTCTCATAAGACAAAATTGTGCCATTTCTTCGTGACGAGTATATTCGTCATAATACAAAATGTTGCTCTTTCTTCACGACGAGTATATTCGTCGTAACACAAATTGTTGCCATTTCTTCACGACGAGTATACTCGACAAAGACAGCTGACTGGTTAAGAAGGATATATATATAAATATTTTGACATTCTTCGTTAAATTATATACATCACAAAATTGTCGTATTTAAAGAAAAATATAATATAAAACAATATAATTACAGTGACTTGCAAACATTTCAAAGAGACCGCAACGGATCGCCTGATCAACAGAATAAAATCAATGAACAGCTTCTACTTTACAATTTGTAAAACATAACGATTAAAACGGGCACGTTCGTCAGGCATGCCGAAAGTTCATCGAGGATCCTGTTAGCATAAAAACCGGCTCCGAAATCTCGTTAAATCTTCACGCTTGTTCTATACATTTTTTAAATCTGCAGCGCGCAAGTTATGAAAACAGCGTTTGACAAAAAAAAAGAAAGAAGAAAATATTCGAAAAATTCGACGAGAGAGATATTCGTAGCTGTGTTTAAAACGGTCGCGCGAGAGATCTTTGTTCTAATTTATTGACGCGGCCGGGAAATTCGAGCTGTGCGCTTATGCAAAATGAAAATTCTCCGCGGAAAATTCCGTGCCGCCGTTATCTGTAAACGTCAGAACTAATTTACCGCAATAGAAAGAAACCCCGGGGTTAAATCCGGGAATAAACCTGATTACACCGTAATCACTTAGAGGTCTAACCCTGACCTAACTCGCGGCCCTAACCGGAACGCATGTTAATGTTTTAAGCTCACCTGATAACCTCGTCCGGAATGGGACGAGGGAATTGCTCCTGCGAATCTTCGTACTGGGTCTCCCCTACAAAGTGCAACAGAGTGGTTCGTTGAAAATTACTCGTCTTTGCAGAAGCAATCGGTTTCTGCGCGGCCGGGCCGCCGCGAAATAATGAAAAAGTTCGCACGCGTTTCCGGCGCACGCAAAATCATCCGTGAAGAATTATACGATATGTTTTACCCGGGACACTGTAAAAAATAACTCTTCGGGGATAAAATGTACACGCTCCCGTTCTAATATTGGATGAAAACTTTTTGAGTCGGCTGTTTATCGGAGCAGCTGTAATAATAATGCATTGTCCCGCGCGTGATCGCGCCCGCTCGTAAATTCTCTCCTATTCGCCGGCATGGAGAATAACTTCTGTCTTTATCGAGCCGATCGCGAGACACTTGGGATCTGTGTATTTTTTCGCGGAGAGGCGTAACTTGAGAAGTGCATCCTCGAGACGCAGGTATCAGGCGCGATAACCAAATCTCGTTCGGGGTCTTTATAATCGATTCAGGAATTCCTGATCCGGCCGACGAAATGAAATGTTCGAATGTACTTTCTTTTTGTCAGCGGAAAAGAAAAGTGCGTCGGGGTGCAAGAAATGCAATTAATGGAAGAAAATGAAACTGCAGATCTTCCGTGGAAAAGAACGTTTCGATGCCGATTCCTAAAAACAGAGACGAAATAAAAATGAATTTGTTATTGTTCGTGATTTTAACAACGTGAAAATAAATTAAAGTCAAACATACTGAAACTGCAGAATAAAAATTGTCGACGTCGAAAGCTAGAAATAGAAACGTGATAAAAATGGATTTTTTATTTCGAAGATTGTGATAAGTTGAAATAAAGTCAAAACTTTCTATATCGATTGCTATACAAATAGAATTGAAATAGATACGAATATTTTCTGTTGAAAATTCTAACGAGTTCAAATAAAATCAGATAAAATTGTGCATCAAATTGTGCAAAATAAAAATTGTCTATCGTCAAAAGCTACGAACATAAATGAAAACGAATTTTTTCTTTCGGTAATTTCAACGAATTGTAAATAATTCTTTTTGTATGCTTTCAATTATATATTTTCAGCGAACAGATTGTAAAGAACGTCACGATTTTAAGGAAACTATGAACGTAGAACTATTCGAAAAACCGAGTTTGTGTACCGTAGACTGCACCAGCGGCATTCTAAGCTTGAAAATAGTATACAGCGCAGCGTTTATTTTGGAACTCGAGAGTTTTGCGGTGGAAAATCGTCGATGCATAAGCGAATCCTAATAGGAAGCTTTCAAGATTCCGGCTGAAAAAGTGGAGCACGATACTCTTGTTACTTTAAAATCTCCCATGATAGTCTTTCGCTCTTTTTGATTTAATAATCCGCCGACCATCTCCTCCGCCGCCCCGCTGCAGTTACTTCAGCAAATCTTTTATGCACTTTGCGCAATCTGATCGCGCCCAACTAAAAGAATCCGTAATAGGGACGAATGAATAAATCGCATCACTTATTTCATATTGATTAAACGGCCGAATTTCGGGCTATAATTTTTGTTTCAGTTTTTAAACCTCGATGCGAAATCCTTCGCGTTTCCCCGGCGCAGAATATTCCTTTTTAACGCGGCCGTAAAAAGAATTTCAAATATCAAAATGAATTCGAAATTAGGCGTCATTGCAACTGGCAATTTTTCTAGCCTTTTCTGGAACGCGGATACGTTTAATAATCGACGCGGGTATCCTTGGGAAATAAATTAATTCGACGGGTAAATAATTTCAGACAGAACTCTAAATTATTAATGTTTCATGCGACAGAGAGAGAGAGAGAGAGAGAGAGAGAGAGAGAGAGAGAGAGAATTTCATCGCGAAAGGAATAGATAAACTTTCGTGCGAATTAAGTGTACACGAAAAATTTTTTTATGTAAATCCACAATCGACGATTGCAACGAATTGTTAATAATATATCGAAACGCTTAAGTTATCTCACAGTTTGTCCGCCTTATTATTAATCTGGTCCGTTCGTTTTCAGCATGGATGCACGAGATGTGCGATCTTCTTCCCGGACAATGTATCGAGGCCAGCAGGCGGTGCTGTGACAATGTTGCACCCAGCCGTTTACATGTTCCTTCAACTGGTTCGTTCGCTCTTTTTTCGACTAACGGCTACAGAGGCCGTGAAATATTCCCGTCGAATAAACTTCTCCAATTAAACTTTTCTCCATCGAATAAATGTTACAACTTATAGGACGTTAACAGTTCTCGATTCGAATTCGTTTCCCAGACAGTGCAGAATTTCGCGAACTCCTTCCGCTGCAATTTTTCCCGACGCGTTACCGTCGAACCGAGTATTATTGTAGCAAAAAGCAGCGAGTAAAAATCGGCAACAATTTCTCGAAACGATTACACACCGTCTCCTCGACTATCGTATCGACGGAATCACGAGTTCCCCGACAGAAATCCTAAACAGATTCGACAACGTAACGTCGGCTCGCATAAATCTCCACAAAAATTCACGAACCAGCCGGTTCGAAAGCAAAATATCTCGGAAGTCACTCGAGAACTCACTGTCACAAAACGATTCGAGACGAAGCTTCGCGATTTCCGCGAATAAAGCTCGTCGCGATGAGAAAATCGTGGTAAAAGCCGGCGCGGCGCGTTAAGATCGAAGAAAAGCGCGAGAAAAGAAACGATCCGGGACGATCGAACGGGTAATTCACGATCCTCGATTGCGAATTCTCGTTTCCCGTGAAATCAGGGACCGCATCGGTAGCCATTGCGCGATCGGATCGGATGCTCGCGAGAGGCGGCGAGAAAAAGACTGTCAAATCGGCGGCGTCGCGTCGGCTCGCGATCAGCAGGAAACCGGCCTCGTCCGCGGTCCTCGCCTTTTTTCCGGCTGCTGTTCCGCAAATAAACGAAAGCCGCCATTATCACAGCTCATTTTTCACGGCCGGAGAGGCGTGACGGATCGCGGAGAGGACCGGTCGCGTATCGCGATCAAATTCGCGTCGATCCGAGAGAAAAAAAAAACGGGAACTCGGGGCGAAACCTCGAACGGGAATAAACGGTCGATGGAGAGGAGAAAAAAAAAGCGGATCGGCAAAGCGATAATTCGTTTCAACGTGGCCGGGTTTACTCACAGTTGTACCCCTGCAGAAGGTTATTCTGGGACATTTCTCTCCGTGTTGCGCCCTCCGAAACCGAACCACTTTCCACGTGGACGTCTCGCAGCCTGATTCGCGTCGATCGCTGACGGGGAAATCATTCGGGACGGTCCACGGTCCCAAATCGGTTCGCTCATATCGCCGCCAAACGGGCAACTTCGGAAACGTGACTCCCAGTACCGTGCCTCCCGTTTCCGAAACCCCATTGACCTCTGACCCCGCGATTCTTCCGGCGCTTTTCGACGCGAACGCGGTCCGCGCAACATTTCGAAATGTTTTCACGCGACTCGAGCCTCCGATCTGGAAAATAAACGGAGTTATTTGTAACAAATTACGTGCGTAAATTATTTTCAATTTAGAGCGCGTCGATTCTATCGCGCTTTGGAGTACGGATGATTTTTAGTCTCGCTGTTTCCGTGATATTCTAAGGATCGAATTTTCTTCCAACTCGAAAACAATCTGCTATTTTTTTTTTTTTAATGTGTTACATGCGATTGTTTTAAATGGCCGGCATAGACAGCTTCAAGTTTCTAGTTCGGTAGATCGGAACCGGTGAACATAGTCATTTGCGATTGCGATGTGTGTGGAATATTTTCAGATTTGAGTATCGATTTTATTGCTGTTTGAAATATAGGCGGCTTTTATTCGAGCTATTTCGATGAGATTTTAAGGATCGAATTTCCTCTGACCCGCTCGAAAACAATTTGCTATTTTTTTAGGTGTTACACGTGATAGTTTTAAATGGCCGGCGTAGACAGCTTCAGGTTTCTAGTGCGGTGAATCGGTACCGGTGAACATAGTCATTTGCGATTGCGATGTATGAAATATTTTCAGATTAGAGTATCGATTTTATTACTGTTTGAAATATAGGCGGCTTTTAGTCGAGCTATTTCTGTGATATATTAAGAACCGAATTTTCTCTAATCAACTCTCTGAAAACAAATTGACATCTTACAAATATTACACGCGATGTTTTCAAATGGCTGTCACAGACAGAAGTTTCAATTTAATAAATCGGCTAATAAATAGCCGCGGTTATCTGCAACATATTAAAGGTTTCCAGTTTAGTCTGCCGATTCGAGTACTCTTTGGAATATAGGTGGCTTCTATTCTCGCTATTTCCGCGTTAATTTGACACGTTAAGTGCCGCGTTCGTCAAACGAGGACGACGGTAATTTTTAAGTAGCATTCAAGATTCATTTTTCGTGTAATACACTCTCGAACGAGCGGAATTTCAGGCGGATCTTTCGAATGCAAATGAGTTGAAGTACCACGATCTTTCACTATGATCGATTTAAATTTCCTAGCTTCCGCCTCGTTAATTAAATTACTTCGATTTTGTAAGGTCATTCAGTTGATTTTCGATGCTTTAAGGATCGACGAAACAGTTAGAAACGAGAGATTTTTTTGTCATTCCAAGTAAGAGCAAACTTGCAAAAAAAGTACAGTAAATTCTCCCCAATTTTCCTTCAGCTTGTCGGAAAAAATGGAGATTTTGGGTACGGGAGGTACGATTATTCGAGCCTCGCGACTCATTTTTATAGTTGCCGATTGTCAACAATTATAAAAACGAGGTACGAGGCTCTAATGATCCTATCGTCTCTTCCTAAATTATTTATTTTTGTTTATAAGCTGAATTTAAAAATTTGGGACAATTTACTGTACTCATTTGTTCAATTTTTATTAGAAAAAGAAATTTCTCGTAGAAACTTTTCTATAATTTCAATAACCGAGAAAGAAAAACATTTGGAACAAGTCATTTTGACCGGTTTTTTAAGTCTAGCGTTAAGCAATATTTCAGTCGACGTGTTCCGAAAACGTACTATAATTAACTAGGCACCAGATCGGGTGAGAAAATAACTTAATCCTGACTCGTCGTTCGTCCTTCCAATTTAACTGGCAAAATATTAGAACATCAACGCATAACTTCGAAAGTCCCGTTTTAACCCTTTACCGTACCATTTTCTTTACAGTTACAACGATGAGAACTTTTTCCATAGCAATGATTTCTTAGAAGAGAAGAAAAGCTTTGTATTTATTGTGTATTTATTTGTATTAATCAATATTTATGTTAATATCATTTATATTTGATTCGCGACTTAATGGAACGGAACAGCTTTCATACTTGATAGTTTATTATTAGAAATCTCTACCACGAGTCTGACTCGTGAAAGTACGAAAAGGGGTTAAAGAACGAACTACTGGATGACATAAATACGGCTGAAAAATTCACTGAATTTTTGGGTCGGCCGAAGGTATAAAAGGCCGTCCGAGGATATAAAAGGTGTTCGAATAAGCTTTCGCCAGGTGTACTAATCTCTGTTCCGATTTCCACGAAAAAAAAAGAAAGAGTCCAAGTAACCGGAGAACTCGCGCAAAGACACAGGTATAACAGCAATTGTCGACTTATCCAATATTAGCTTGACTAAAAGTAGAACGAAGCTCGGCGAAAGTTTCGGGGCCGTTCCGAAACGTTAACAAGTTGAGGCGAGGCGAGTCTCTCTCTCTCGGTGTAACACGAACCCGATCGGATTCGATTGCAGTGCCGGCGTGAATATTCCCGTGGAAACACCGAAATTCTGTGCGATCGGCGAACAACCATGAAGCCATCTTCCATCGTCGAAGTCCCCGGAATTGCCCGCCCTCGTCTGTTTTCGAATTCCGGTCAGGTACATCCACATCGCTGTTCACCAGCTCGCCGGTATGGTCTGCGGCATACTTGCCTGACTCAATTATTACTTGCTACTTCTTGTTACCCGCTGTTTAAGTTGCCTCGACCCTTCCCGCCGCCCTTCCTCGTCGCTATTCCAGTCAGCCGGCCTTCGATTCGCCCTCTGTCTACGCCAACTACACCAATAAGCGTTGGCCGCCGTCGAACTGATATCGTTCGAACTGTTTGCAATATCGGCAAAAAGACCGTGACAGATCGACCCGGACGTTCCGGTGACCTTCGCAGCAGGACCACCTCGATGTAGACCAACGAACAGAGTGGTCCTTGGCGAGGTAACCAAATTTTTTATACAGATTTTGTAGCTCCGATCCCGCTAAATTGTGACACTTCGTAGGAAAACGACGCGCGCGAAATGTCAAAGTCGCGTTGAAGATTGAGCATCTTAACGATATCCTTTAATTTTTTAACGTAATTGTATATATATATATGTACTTCGTCTTCGAAGTATTGTTAAACGTTTTTTTCCACAGTTGCGATTTAATTCCCATTGTTGGATTTTATTCAAATGGTAAATCGGCGATTCCGCATATATTTTAACACATACAAAAATCTTAATTATTAATCTAAAAGCATTAATAATTCTTCAAGAGATTTTATTCGCGATCTGTGTGTAGGAAATAATGACGATGAAAATAGCGATCTCGGTGTCTACTTGTCGAATGAATAAAACGTGAATTCGATTTTAGAATACCTCCAACAATTCCAAATTACATCAAAGCTTTCGATGTTCCTTTTACGTCCCGGGCTTCTAACAATCAATATTTCAATGCGGTTCCGCAAATACACATTTCCTATCGAAATCAATGGGAGCATGTAAATGTAATGGAAATCGCCTTAAAAGTGTGCGAACCCCTCGATCAGCAGCGACTCGATAGAAAACATTTCCCGCAAGCATCGAATCTGACTTATTCGAAATTGCCGATCGATCGACGGTATTTTTGAGAAACCGATTCCGAGGAAAACTTTAAAAAATTAAAACATAATTAATGAGGCTCAGAGTTAGCGCTGAATCTATCGATCGGATCGTATTCACTAGGTCAGTACATTTCGTTTCACGTTTATTGAAATTATCAAAATGATTTCACAGGAAACAGTTGTTGGAAACGATCGTCTCATTTGATTAATCGAAGAGTAATCATACAAACCAAAAAGAAAAATGGTATTCCATCTGAATACACTAATTTCTCTTGAAAATGCCAAATTTCGGGTTGCTGGGAATTTCTCTGTGCTAGTCCTAAATCTATGTAATTTATTGCTATGTTGAAGTAGGTAAGAAAAATTGCGGAGCTACAAGGTGCATGACTAATCTCCGTCGAATCGCGGCATGTGGCCTCTGAATTGCCTTCGAATGGTGGCATGTGGCTTCTGAATTGCTTTCGAATGGTGGCACGTGTCCTCCGAATTGCCTTTGAATGGTGGCACGTAGCCTCCGAATTTCCTTCGAATGGTGGCATGTGGCCTCCGAATTGCCTTCGAATGGTGGCACGTGGCCTCCGAATTGCCTTCGAATGGTGGCAAAAAATTAGAAATAAAAAAGTTAAGTCACCGTTTTTGTTCCAGTATTACTGTGTATTTATATTAACCTAAGCCGACTGCCCCAAGTTTCTATAAAAATGAGCCGCGAGGCCCGAAAAATCGTGTCTTAGCGCGACTTAGTATTCTCAAATCTGCGTGTCTCGATTCCCGAACATTTCTGGAAGAAAGAAATTACTCTATTAATGGGAATAACTGTCCTAGCACAACTGTTCCGACAAGCTTTGCAGCATTGTTTGGTTGCCGAATGCTTCCGAATCCAACCTGAACGACGACGTAATCAAGATTCCATAAGAAGACGTACGGTGTTACGCGAATAATAAAAAGTTCAGCTTTAGGTCGCGGAATATTCATCGACGAATGGCCGATATACGATTGAGCAACGAGCCGTTAACGTCCACGGGGGTGAAATAAAATGGCGTGCGAGCGGGTAGGACGGTTCGAGCGGAATGTTTTCACGAACTCTGGTCCCGCGGGGGGTGAAAAGGCGCAGGAATTCGCAGGGGTGGAGAAAGAGCGTGCCACCGGGGCGAAGAGGCGACAATTTGATTTTCCAATCCAGATAAAGAAAGCTTTCTTCCTCGTTATTGGTTACCGGTGAGTTCTCTGGCCTCCTCGTTTCCGAAAACCGAACGAGGCACCGCCGTTCCTGCCTTTATACAACGGAACGCGCCTAATCGAATCTCTTCGGCACTTTTCGCGGTCCGTATTTCTGACGTCTGAAAGTCGGGAGACAGAGCGAATCA